TTCAAGGAAAAAGCCAAGGAAGCATTGGATAAAGCCAAAGATGCAAATAACGGTAACCTACAATTAAGGAACAAAGAAGTGACTTGGGAAGTACTAGAAGGAGAGGTGGAAAAAGAAGCATTGAAAAAAATCATAGAAGACCAGCAAGAATCTCTAAACAAATGGAAGTCAAAAGGTCATTCTGATTTTTCTTTGTTATTTTAACTCATTTGCTTGAGTAAAAATTTCAAGCAGTGTTAAAAAACATTGGCAATAGACAGTTTCTTTAATAAGTGTTCAATTATATCTTCTACAGGTCGCAGATTTAAAGGAAAAGGAAAGGGTAATAAAGCTGCCCAGCCTGGGTCTGCTAAAGGAAAAGTACAGTTTCAGGGCAAGAAAACTAAATTTGCTAGTGATGATGAACGTGATGAAAATGGTGCAACTGGTGAGTTTTTTCTAAGTCTTTGGGTAGTTTCATGAGAAATTTGTACTTTCATAAGAAATTATTTGTCAGGGAGAACAGGGATGTGGCTTTTTAACTTCTGTATAAGTGCCAGTCTTTGATTATAACAATTTCCCTCAGTTATGCTGTTTTATGGGTGGGAGATAGGATATTTAGAAGATTAGAAATCAGATGGTCTGTACTAAAGGAAAAGCCTTTTCTCATTGGTGCAAGGAAGTTGTTCCTAAGCTTTTCAAAAAAGAATTATTAACAGTTGTGCTCAATATTAAAACACAGCAGTGCTTACATTGAATCTAACAAAAATTTTGTTATTGTCTAGGACCAGTAAAAAGAGCAAGAGAAGAAACAGACAAAGAAGAACCTGCATCAAAGCAACAGAAAACAGAAAATGGTGCTGGAGACCAGTAGTTTAGTAAACAAATTTTTTATTCATTTTAATTAGGTTTTAAACTGCCTTTGTTTTTGGAGACTTTAAAATGAAAACCGAATTAGGTCCACTTCAATGTCCACCTGTAAGAAAGGAAAAGTTTTTTGTTGTTTAACTTGTCTTTTTTTGTTATACAAATGAGGATTTTTTTTGGAATGTATAGTTTGTGTTATTTCAGATAATATCAAAAGGAAGATTCTTCCACTAAATTGCCTTTGTAATATGAGAATGTACTAGTACAAACTAATAAATATATACTGTATAAAAAGAGCAAAAACTTAGTTTATTTTTTTGTTTTTGTGCCCAAAGCATTTGAGAAAATTTAAAGCTAGACTATTGGCTATTATGGGCTCTTCCCACAGTTAATTCACCTCCCAGGCTGGCTCTCTGTATTTATCCAGGCAACTTGAGAACATTATAAATAATTACTTATTACAAAGCTTTTCAATACTGAATGCAGACAAGCCAAAAATCAAGAGACTTACTGATTTCTTTTTATGAAAGTTGTATGATGCTGGCAGGTCATATCGAAGTTCT